CAACGGGCGTCGGTAGCAAGGGATTTATCGCGGTGTAATAAACTTGGGAATTTGGGAATATCCGATACTCAACCAAGGAATAATGAGCGTGAAAGGTGAGCGAATACTGAAAGCAAGTCGAGCCCCCGAAGACTCCGACGGGAAGGGGACGCGAACCCTTATTTTTTCAGGCAGATTGTAAATCGTAGTGACGTTTATTTTCGCTGGACGGGATTTCCCTATGACTCACCATTGTCTCGTTTTTCATTCCTTTTTTTATTTATTTATTTTTTTCTGTATGGATCGCTCTTCCTATTTTACTCGTACCGCAGTGCTTAACAGGATTACGGTTGGCTTCCGGTTTTAAACAAGGTTATCCCACCGGTTGACAGAGTACTCTTTTGACGAGTAGCAGAGTTGCGATGAAAAATTGCCCTGGATAAAAGCGGACAGTGCCTGATTTGGAGCTTTGCTGTAATCTAGATATTTCATCCCCATTTGGATCCGACATTCTCAAGTAGAGAGTAGAGTTGATCGCCCAAACATAGAAAGTTAAGTATTTGGTGGTTTTGATTGGTGATAAATGCACCTTCTTGCAAAGTGAAAAAGTAGAAACAAGCGGTAAAACTCCGTATACGTTCGTATTGGACAGGCGCTCAACTGTTTTCTATGTAGGCGCGTTTTTAAGTTCCCCGAAAAAAATGAGCAACGTCGGGTAAAAGAAGTAGCCTCGCCAAAATTTCAACTACGTATTTTGAGAAAAGTACACCATCGAAAACGAGTATCGTCTTCCGCACTTTGAAGTTCCCTTGCAAATGAAATCGAGTGACGACGACAAAAAGGGAGCGGTAGTCGAAAAACTTACTTATTATACGACTTTATCTTTGATTCAAAATAAAATCTTTTTGACGGCACACTCAAGAATGTTTCTGCCTAAATGAAGTCACTTTTTCACTAATGAAAATAAAAAAAATTATGCTAAAAGTTATTAAATACGGATGTTAGGATTTAGTTAGTTTTTTGGACTACCGCTCTCTCTTTGTGCCGTAGTTTCTTGATTTATTTTGCGAGGAAAGCTCCGTACTCTTAAAGGATGCCTGTCATTCTTGATACGTTGGATTGCTTTAAATTCTGTATGATATTGTGCAGCACCTCTGTTGTGAAATAGTTGCTTGAAATGCCGCGGCGCGGCGCGCGGCGGGCGAGTACCAGCGCGACACGTGCACAAGCGCCTACAAACCTAACAGGGATACTTCACGCATTGCGCAATGCGTGAAGTATCCCTGTTAGGTTTGCAGGCGCCAGCGCGCGTTCCGCTCCAGCAGCAGTTGCTTTGAAAATTTTTAATTCGGGTCCGTGCAAGCGCCTGGCGTTGGACCTCGGATATTACTTTAGCATAAGCGATTAGGTACGTTCCAGTGACCTATTAACACTCAAATTTTCATCTGTCTAGGTGCAGCCGTTCAATAGTTAGCTGGTTTCCTGGGCCTGGATCATCCAATCGATACACAGAAAAAAATTAAATTGCTGGTTTAACAATTAAAATCCTAAAACAAGTGACTGTAATTTTTCAATGTAGATTTTACAACAAAAAAATGCAACTTTACACCCTCGTGGTTAAATTAGCTTACAATAGTGGCTAAAATAGCATTTTTTTGTTGTGAAATCTACGTTGAAATATTGCAGTCAGTTGTTTTAGGAATTGAATTGTTAAACCAGCAATTTAATTTTTGTCCTTGTGTCAAATGACCTTAATCGATCAAAATCATTGCTGAGATAGGGATTTATCGATCAGGATCATTCTATAATTTCAAAAATCGACCCGCTAGAGCCTCTGGCCCACCACGCTAGTAAGATATCGGCTTCATACCAGCATATTTTCATCGTAAATGCGCTGTTAATGCTGCTTAATTGCACGCCAGCTCGCCCACCGTGAACGCTATGGGTTTCATATTATCTGATGCGTAGCAATTTGCTCAAATAATTGATACCACTCTGAGAGGTCAAACTTTTACAGTCATTAAATTTGGATACCACGGGAGCGTTGACGGACGACTTTGCCTCCGGCGAGTCTATATAATTCATAGCGGTCGCGCAGAACAACTTTCATCCTACGCCCTCAGGTTGATTATCGTGCAAGGCATCTCAAGGCGCAGACACGGACACCGTTCCGCTTGTTCACTTCCTTTTTCCACAACTTCGGACGATTTTCGTGCTGGATTACTCTTTCCTTTCACTGAGTGATAGTGAAAAAAAACTTGTGGGAACCCAAAATCTGTCAAATTTACAAGGATTTGGATTCTCCTTTCTTCTCTCCAGTGAACAAAGTTCCCAATAGAGTGAAAGTGCAGAGCTGCAATTTTATTTTACCTAAGATTCCGCGGTTCCCGGAATTGCTCCCGATTTCCAAAAGTTCCGGGGAAAAATTCCGAAATACGCCCGGATTTAGTTCCGAAGATCGTCAAACTTCATCAAAAATTATCAAATTTGATCAAATAATTGGTCACACTAATAAAAAAAACCCGAAAATCCGAATATTGCTGGAAATTCTGGGAGTTCGAAGGAATCGGAAATGTTCTGGAATTCAGAATTAATTCCGAAAAATGGCAACACTAAAAATGAATAACCATTCAATGTTTTTTAAGTTCGAATCTAACACGCCACTTGCATAGTGCGGTTCACTAGACAAGGTATGTATGTATCGAAGCACTTAATTGCCGCGCTAAAGAGGAACGCCGTATGAGCTTTCAGAAGTTGCCAAATTTTCTTTGATAAAATATGATTTTTCAGGGGATTCTGTGTATATATTCCCTCCGATTTCTCAGAGTATTTTATTCATAATCAGATCTAAGTTATCTGAATGTTTTAGGAGAAAATATTCATAACTCTCCTCAAGAATAAGCATTTTATTGGAGGGAATTTGGCAACCCTCGCATGTTCATACGGCGTTCTTCCTTAGCACGGCAGTATACGCAACATGCTCTCCCTCCAAAAGTTCAAGAGGAAAATAAATTGCTTACGGAAAGCCTGGGGAATCAACTTAGGAGATGAGGAAGGCGTAAATTTTTAAAATTAACATGGGCAGAGGGAGAAAAATGACGTCATTTGTATAATTTAACAGCAACGCCCATTTCATCTGTGTTGATAATTCGTGTTAATATCTCCTTCAGGAGTTGATTCTCGAGATTTCTGTCGCGTGGACCGTTTTCTACGCAAGAATTTGAAGAGAAAATTGTATGTTTTTGTCCTCGTTCAGACCTTGTCTTGTGGGTGTGGGCCTTAGGGCCTTAGGTGCTCAGGGATTTATTCATTTCGTAAAAGCAAAATTATGAGTCATCTAAATTTTACATTATTACTGGCGGTCATTTTTGTTGATCGAGATTCAGATTTATCCCCAAGAGCTTAGTTTTAATAATACTGAGTCTACAGAATAATCGATCCTTGATTTGGAAATCCAAGGTGAACTTTTCCGAATAATTGGTGTAAAGATATTGTTTTCTTGTGATAAGACCGTTTGAAAAATTATACTGCTTTTTTTCTAACTTGATATTTTACACCGCAAATGCATTAATACGCTAATCAAGACCCAAATCTCTTCACTAAAAAAGTTTGATGTAGCTAATTCTCTATACATTTGAAGATTCATGTGTGCCGCAGGAAATTAAATATTAAGGCAGATAGTCAAATTTTCACATTTTCGGAAATTTTGTGAATTTATGAAAAAGAGCGCTTACAAGTTGTAAAATTTTTAAACAAAATAACCATCGAATCTACGAACGATCTTCGTTCCTCTTCACCCACGGCTCATGAGTCCCGCATACAGTTGTTGGCACATAGCTCCGTTTGGCGAATTTAAAATCCAACTTTTCCAATACTTGTTCAAAAGGAATCAAGCCCACTTTTAATTCGTTTCTGTTCCAGCTCACCACGAGCATACCTCATCTTTCCCACCCGCACATAGTGGCGTATGTAGAATTAGGTTCTGGGGTGGGGGGCGGGGGAGACAAACCTCCCACCGGGGATCTGGAGGATATGGAATACCTCCCAGGTGCAGGGGGACGGGGAAAATTTTCAGGATTTTAACCCCGTAAACCCCCAATTTTTAACAATTTGAGGCATGAAAAATTATAAGAAGCTCTCCACTATTTTCCCCCAAAAATACCTTAGAAAAATGGAAAACAGTATACTCAAGACCTGTTTTTAGTTTGAGATGGAGAAAATGAGATTGGTAGACTCTCCCATTCCTCACATTCAAAAATTTTGATCAAATTATTTTTGTGCCGAAGTAAATCAATAATTAAATAATCTGGACAAAAATATCGTCGTGTCCACTCTCCACCCGATTTTTCTGCCTTTCCCTTGATTTCTCTTATTTTTCTCTCTTTTTTGGGAGCCCGGGGGGGGGGGGGGTAGGGGGTCCGGAACATCAGCCCCCCCCTCCTAAATGCACCACTGCCGCACATAGTTCTGCTTGGTAGAAATACGTGGAAATGGGTGTTGTAAACGAGTGAAATGATTATCTCGGGCGCACTTATCAGGCGGCTGGGCGGAGAACCGCGGGTGGAAATTAATAAGCGAGTCCTTGCACGTGGTCTCGGGGAATGAGAAGTTGAAGCCGCATGAATAATGAGCTATAGGTGCGAGAAAAAAGGTGGAGCACGTAGGATCCGTGGCACGGGGCCGGTCGGCCGCGGGGTCGCGGGAAAGCGGAGCTTCCAAAGTGGCGACAATGGGATTCCATGATGAAGTAGAAACGGAGCTCCTCACTCACGTTCCCAGGTTCTACATCAGGAAATGATAATTTCACCGACAATAACTGACACTGGTAGCTCTAATTTACGGCTAGTTTTGAATATTGCGTGAACCCCGCTAAGCTCGACTCAGGCTCTTATTTACGGCTCCGGTGCGTTGCGCCGCGCCGTGTCGCGTCGGCGAGCCGGTGACCTGCGCCCTGCCGCCGCCGCGCCGGGGCTGCATCCCGCCGTGCACGACTCTCGTGGCGAGAACAGTTACGCGCTGAAATGTCCCCCTAACAGGTCGTTGCCGCTCCGAGTCGTGCGTTTTATCACTATGTTACGAACTTTCCGTACGTAAATTCCCCTTCTTCACTTTTATTGTTTTGTCATTTCTTCCTTTTTTTTTATCGCGCTCGCGTTGTCTTTCAAGTGCTCTCATCGTGCTCGTCTCGTATTCCGTTTATTTATTTCATCTTGGTGCCCCGTTCCACTCTCTTTTCCCGCCCTGAAATGCTCTGTCAAGACTTACGTTTTGTTTGCCAGTCTGTTTCGTGCTGAATTTTTATTCCCGTTGATCTGACAGTTTGTTTAGCTTCCGCTTTATGAGTTGCCCCGTCGGCGCCGGCTAAAAGAGGTAAGCCTTTGCTCATTCGCCACTCTCCCGACACCTTTGTTAAAAATGCTGCGCCACCCACCGGCGACTCCTTCTTTATTCCTCTCGTGTCGTGTTTATCCTCTGATTTCATTCATAAATTTCTCGGCTTCCCGCATATTAAACAAAAATTTGAGTCGCATTTAATGCACACGGCAATCACTCTCCAGGGATGACTTATTTTATTTTCTAATTTCTCCGCGCATCTGTTTATTTTTCTCGAGTGTTCTTTTTCTTCGGTAATTCGTCCACTTACTCGCGGAGAACATAAAGAGAGGAGCTATTTATTTTTTAAGTAAATACAATTCATTTGCATTTATTTATTAAATCATCCCCTCCTTTCCTTTATTTTAAACATGTTGAGCATAAAAAGGGTTGATTTTACCACGATAATGTTCCTCTAATTGTTGACGGCAAAAAATATTCGGAGTGACAGAATTAAATAAATAATCCTATTTGCAGTTATGCAAACATGCTGTCTAAAAATGCTGCTTCCAAAGGACTTCTTTGAATGATTTCACTCGAAGGCGCTTAAGTTAAAGAACGGTAAATTATTTTCTGCTTGTAGAACGCCTTCAACATTTTGCTATGCAACCAGCATATGGGAATGTTTAAATTGTTGTTCGCGTGATAAATCCACATTAATGCCGTAGGATCATTGACTCTAAAGGTAACTTAACCTTGTGGAAATGTTACATTCCTGCTCAGCAGTAAAAAAATAAACAATAAAATAAATTTTAAACATATCAGACTCGGATCAAACGCATGGTGGATTAGGATCAACCTTAAAACTGATCTGTAATGGCTAATTTCGCTATAATATACTTGTATTTCAATGAATATTCATCCTCAAAATCTTCCGGCATGAGCATTTTTTGTGATACTTTAGAGAAGTAGTATGGTTTGACTGTAATTTTGATAGTGACTTCCTGACTCTCCTTCTTTTTGTGGTTTAGCAGTTTCCGAATCCGGTGAAACCGCGTAGCCTACAATTTGCGTGCTTTTAAGTTCAAATCACATCACCTTGAGCCTGGATTCTTTTAATTTCACAAAGTAGCGAGAACTAATTATAAATCATCAGTAAATTTAAGCGGCTTTAGAAACGAAAAAGAGTCATCATAACCTGCGTAAAATTACATTAGTTGTGAAGAGATTGAAGTTTTTAGCTTATCCATCAATAATGGGTGTCTTCAATCACAAAACGGCAGAACTGTACAAGAAAATAGCCCAATTTGTGACGAAAATAACAGCTTACGCAGAAAGTTGAGCCACAATTTAAACGAACCCAATTTTAATTCAATAACGATGCCCATTCAGAGCACTTTTCTATACCCCTTTACTTCCTTCTGACTGATACACCGGCCGAAAGTTCAATCAGCTTCAAAAGCTGGATAAATGTCTAGCTTTAGAGTATTCATGGACAGCGATTGATTAAAATAAGGACATCAGAATCAATTGTTTACAGCCTGGAGAGAAACATCAAGGGAGTGAGCCTCGCCGGTGTTCAATCGACTTGTTCACGTATCTAGTAACAACTCAAAACAAATATTTTGAAGATTCATAATTCAAATTTTAAAGGCTTAAGGGCAACTTTAAAGAGGGAAAACCCTCTCTTCCCGCAGTTTTACACTTTGAAGTATTTGAGTTTCTTTTCCGAGTCTTTAATTCTAGTTCATGGAAACCGTTTAGGATCGTATGGACCGATACCTTATCATTCTGTTTAGTAATTGAATCATTCCACGTCAACACAATCAGGCCCAGAACCTCCTCTTTTCCTATTTGGCTCTGAATTGGCAAACGGGAACGTTAGAAGAAACTGATTTAAAGGGGTTTCCAATCCAACGCTCCGTTTACGAGATATCAACCCTTAGATATGAGATCAATTTTGGGGATATTCTAAAAAGAACGTTTCTTCTATATGCTCTTTCCTAACTTCCGTTTCTTTGACTTTAAATGATAGTACCCGGTATCAATATATCATACGTTTCATGAATGCCTCTCGACCAATTTTACACGCAAGTTTTGATGCCAATGAAATGAAAGCAAATTTATTTTAAATAACCGTAATTTGAGATTTTTTAAAAATCACCTGTTTATGAATTTTGAGCATAATTGGTGGGGTCGGGTTCCGGACCTGGTTGTGTTGAGGTGGAATGACCCGACATTAAAATAATATGTATGGACGCCCAGTTGTGGTCATACAAGCATTGTTGATTTAAAAGTGATAGCTGGTCCCTTCGTTTTCCAGCTACATGCGTTGCACGGATTTAATCAGTGACATGTCATTCGCGTATCGAACGCACGTATTTCACGTATTATTCTTTTAAAATTCCGAGCGTTTGCCGCGCCATAAGTTCATTAGAGCCAATGTTGTCACGTCGTGCGGGGAAATCAGTGGAGCTGAAGTGTTATTCATGTGACCCAGATAACAAGTAAAGGTGTGATCGCACATACATTTTCAAACTAAAAATTCATGAAGCACATCACGCAAGCAGAGAAACTCAATAGAATAAATTAATAATTACTAATAATTAATCGCATATTCGGGGGTGATTATGACCGCGGTGGGCCGACTCGAAACGCGCGGAGCTCTTAGAAACGGCCTGGCAGGGTTTCATTATACGTTGCTAGTTGCACGAAGCTAACGGGGTTGATGCTTTGCGCCATCCTCAAAGGAATGTGCTTGCTCATCGACTTATGATATTGAGCTCGAGGTATGCTCCATTTGGACGTATTTCTGCCAGACGGAACTGTGTGCTTTATGACGTGAGCCCTGTCATGCATATATTCTCACGGGTCTTGGGGCTCATGTTTTAATGCACATAGTTCCGTCTGGCAGAAATACGTCCATTTGCAACTTGGCGCGCACCCCGTGACTTGCAGCCTCTCGCTGGAGTCCATATCCGGCGAGAGGGATGTAGATTCATTTTCGCATGAGCCCCGCGATACTGGTAGCATTACGGTTTCTAAGGCTCATCCGTACAGCGAAGTAATCCCTTTCCACAAATATGGGGCCTACTTGTGAGTAGTTTAATGTATGCAACCGTATCATCTCTGAATCGGGGCCTCAAAAACCACGCCACCAATATTGCACGCTGTGTCGCTTTGTATAATTTGAGACAGGCTCTCGATCTCATCGATACATTGATTTGCACCGGATGTTCAATTTTAAAAATGCTGCTTTTACTCACTTTTATTTTATTTTTTTCGGAACATTACAAGGTTTGGAGTGCTCAACTTAGCACTGCTAAGAACGGAAAAGCAGGTTGCACAACCTAGGCAACGTCGAGTATTTACGGATTGCGGCTCTCAGGGTTTTACTTCTAATGTCCCGAGGGGTAACTTTAATTTCTCACGAAAACCTCAACTAAGCATCTATCTCTTGCCTGACGGCCTCAACTCCTCTCCAGTGGCGTGCCGTGTTTTGCGATTTATCGATTGATCTACCATTTAAACCTGCGGAAAAGAATCGATAGACAGGGTGTTGGAACGAGCACCTTAATAATCGATTCTTTACTACAGACTCAAATTAGGAAGTATCGATAAGCGATCATTCACGGCTGCTCATCTTGGAGCGAATCCTCATTTCCATGTGCTGCGCTTTTCTAGATAAATGAAAATTCCCACCTTTCTCATTTTAGATCTACTTTATCGATTGAAGCAGCCACTTAAATGAATTTGTCAAATTAATATCTTATTTACTATTTGGATTGCATTTTGCTATAAGGAACCAGTATCTCTGGCTCTTCCGTAAAAGCACCTTTCTGAATAGGGAACCCAATGGCAGATATGATGTTTCTAAAATTAGCCAAAAATAGTGGTTCCTTATTGCAAAATGTGGTCCATTTTATACTTAGTATTTAATACTTATATCCGAGTAGACGGGGAAATAATGGCTTGAAACCCAAATATGTGATGAAGTCAGACAAAATTGTGTTCGAAGTTACACAAAATTAAAAATGGTGTACTTCCTTCGGATGATCCACTAAAAAGATAACTCAAGAGTTTGATCTTGGCTGTCATTTAAAAAAAATGCAAGTTTTCTACGGTATCAGCCATGGATTTTTTTGTTGTGAGTTACTATAGCTCGTATGGGGGAATCCATACAAAAAAAATCCATAGCTGATACCTCAGGAAAAACTGCATTTTTTGCTAAATAGATACCTATACCTCAGCCCAAAGGGGTAAGTGCTTTGAAATTTAGAGCCAAAAACCGAAAAAATTACAAAAAAAGACTCTTCAAGAATATTTCCAAATTAGGCAATGATAAATCGGGAATTGAAGGGATTTGCAATCAAAGTTTACGGGTGCTGTTGCCACCTGGGGAAAATATTTATTTATTTCAGCATCATTATTAATGCAAAAGATGGCTAAAATTTAGACCCTAATATTCTTGAAAGTATTGGAAAGTGTTCGATTTGCTCAGAATAAGTAACCTCATCATTTATATCTGCATAACTTGACATAAATACACTTAGGATTCGATTCCTCCATGCATAAACACATGAATATGCGTGAAGCTATTGCTTTACTTTTTTTTTGCATCGGACTCTGTCACATCGATGAAATGAAAACCATTTTTCCGTGCACAAATCGAAGAAAGAAAACGGAAATAAAGTGTATATTTTTCCATTTGAGACAAAAAACAAAACTAATAGAAAAAAATGAGAGAAAAAGACGACCAAATCTGCTTAATCTAACTCGATCAGCATCAGCATCTAAAGCCGATTGCCAGGAAGCGGAAATAGAGGGGGTGGGTTTTAAATCACCGTATCCGCTTTACTTTTTGATCAATAAACTGTTGATTCCGAGAAGCCTCTTATCAATTTAATATTCTAATACAAGTTTGTGTCATGAAAATGTAAAAGCTCTTTTTTACTCATCAATGCGTTTAATTGCATATCCCGTTTCATCTCCAATCGTATTGGATATATGGATAGCCATATGGAAGCTGATTATTGACATTGATAGACAAAGTGATA